ATAGTCAGATTTTGTGAACCCAGCATTAGGTGGCCAGGTAGGATACATGGCAGTAATAAATTATTAAATATATAATTATATAAAATAAAATATTATTTATATATTTTGTAAATTATATTACTTTGAATATAATTATAATTTTATGTATTTATGGAAGCTTTTATAAATGGTATGTAAATTATGTTAATAATTACACATTGATGTTTATGTGTAAATAAATATATGTGTATATATATTTATATATAATTATTTATATAAAATTATAATTATTTACATACAATTATATAATTCTCATGTAATTAATATAAAATTATAAAATAGAATGAAGGTTCCAATGAGCTGAAAAGAGGAGGTTGGTTTTATAGGTAGAAAAGGGCAGAGAAATGCATCAAAAGAGAACAAAAAGCAGATTGGTGATTTCAAAATTACTTTTCTTATGGGGTTAGAACAAACGGACTTCCTTACCATGCTGGCTCAGGTTAACTGAGCCTTTTTTATTGTTTGCTAAAAAATTCTTGTGGTTTTGTTTCTTTTCTTTTCCTTTCTTTTTTGACTGGCCTCTTTCAGAGCTCAGTTGGATCTCAGGGCACTGAGCCTGAGTGACTCCATTCTTGCTTCGTTGGTCTGCGTGGTGCAGGAGGCTACCTAGCGCAGGAGGCTGTTCCACAATAATGGCCTCCTGGAAATTTTACTTCACATCACCAATACTGAGAACGACTGGTGAAGGAATGGTGAGACAGGTTTCTTAGTCTTTGTTCATGGAAGTGAATATTAAAAGAACATTTCTGGAAACCAGCTAAGCAATGAGCTTACCAAGAGCTTTATACATGTTTACATATACTTTGTCCCAGTTATCCACTTGATGAACTAAGAAAATATATAAAATGTTGACTTTAATGATATGCAATAATGTGCTCTTCCATATTGGCCTAAATAGTCTAACTGTCCTACAGTTGGAGGTTTACATCAGGATGTTCATATGATTGAATAGTATTTGGTTATTAAAAATAAAATTTATGCAAAGTTTTATCACTTGGGAGTCTGAGGTCCCAAGAGGGGACTGCATTTAGCCTTACATTTTGTTGAGCCATGTTCAATCAAGTCAGCCACTTCCTGAGGCCCCCGAAATACAAAGCTAGTGACAGGAGGGGGAAAAGGTCCTTTTGAATGAGAATCTTGGTATCTTATGAGAAAGATAAAACAAGACCCAAACCTGTCCCCTAAGACTCAGAGTTAGGGGGGTTTGTTCAGATATACAAGGCCAATATTTGTATATAAGATGTCTCCCACAAAGCTCCGATGTTAATGTTCAGAAGTGAAATGATTAGATTATGAGAGTTGTAACCTGATCCGTAGATTAATCTATTTGTTTTATTAATAAATTGAAAGGACCACTGTATTGTGTAGTAACTATAGGCAGATGGATGTGGCTGGAATAAATAGGTCTCTGGGGGTGTACCCTGGAGTATTATATCTTGAACCCCTGGATCCTCTCTCTCTCCCTGCTTATGGGCTGCCATGAGCTTAGCAGTTTCTCTCTTCCACACCTTGCCATCATGACGTTCTGTCTCACCTTCAGCCAGAGTGGTGAAATTGGGCGATCGTGGACTGAAATCCTAGAAAACTTGAGCCTAAAATAAACTTTTCCTCCTCTAAGTTGTTTGTGGGAGGCCATCCTCGCATGTGATTTGAGTTACCTCCCTGGCTGGGCGAGAGGCGCTTAGACACATCTTTGTGTCCAGAGCTTTCCCCACCCTTCTCAAGTCCGAGGGCTTGTCTGTGTGGAGTCGTGCCTGGCCACAACCCCTGAAGACCCAATTGTCTCACCTGACCTTGGGACACTGCCCCCCTTAATCTTCATTGGATGGGATTTTCCCCAGAATTTTTTGTTCCCCAATAAAAGTCCACTCCCTGGCGGGTTCTCTCTCTCTCTCTCACTGGCCTCTTCAGTAAACCTCCTACTCTAACGGGTAGCTTGAGGCTGGAGGAAGGAGAAGCCGTCCTGGAGCTGGTTTAAAGGTAATTAGGGCCTGTCTCTTTAATTCAAACTCCCTCCGAACCTTCATTTATGAAGCCTGTGCTGCGAGCTAAAGTTATTCTTTTGAGTATTTTGATCACGAAACCGCTAATTAATAAAGCCAACAGAAAGGATTGAAGTTTGCTGAAATCACCACCTAAAGGAAGTGAGAGTCTGGGCTGGTAATCCAGGATTCCCATAAGAACCTAGAGATTTGTGACAAAGGGTGCATTAAGATTTGCATGTGACCATGGCTGACCTCTTCTCTTGACCCAGGCACCTGCCACAGAGGCATGCCATCCAGAGAGCAGGTAAGCATGAGAGTGTGCCTGAGAAAGCTGTTACCTTAAGCCTAATGGAGGACACTGTAGAAACCTGGAGAGAAACCTGGACCAGCCAGGCCAGGTTTTAGGTTTGCAAACAAGTAGATTTTAGGTTTGCAGGACCATCCCAAACAGCAAAGCCAGTACTGTTGGGAAGTAGCAGCAGGTGGGTCCTCCTAGGATCCCTTTCTCCCTCCCTCTTTCCAACATTCAGAGACTGACATCATTTCACCCCAATTCCCTCTGGACTAAATAATCCCATAGGGTACTTGAACAATTCAAGAAAGAGGAAACTAGACTTCCTAATAGTATGGATCAGGCAGGTTTAAGACAATAATTAAAAACAATAAAGGAGATGCAAGCATATATGGATACTCTGAGTTTGGGTGGAAGAAAGTTTCAGAAATGCACAGGCATATTACATTGCACAGCTCTAAGAAGAGCCACTCACATCAGAGTGGATGTGACTGGTGCCACCAGGCAGTGTGCACATGCAGCTTCCATAGCCAGATGTGATGACCTCTTACATAAACAGGTCCACAGTCTTTCATCTGAGGTCCCCAAATACAAACCCATCTAAAGTACTAAAATTTATTTATTTTTACTCCTATAGCAAAACTTGATCTGAATGGATATTTATGTTTATGTATTTACTTCACAGCAGAAATACTGGTATGTTTTGATTATTAGGCATCACCTCTGATTCCTTTGGGGTATTATGCACCATAACATATTTCTCAAATCTGAAAATTTTAGGCTACCAGAGTTTCAGATAGGTGATTACAGAACTCAAAATGTTAACTCTGGCATTAATGAAAGATGATAAAAAAAAAAAAAAACACAAAACTCTCACATTTTAAAAATAGCACTCTGTAGCAGCCCCTTGTGGCTCCCTGAGCATATCCAGACCATGCTCTATTGTGTCTTTACTCGGTCTCTTGAGTGTGGATGGGTCCTGGGCAGCCCCAGGGCTATAGCATGTTGGGTGCTGCCACCATGTTCTCTAGCCCTTCCCAGCCTGCACCGTGTTCTGCAGCTGAAGCTCTGACCTGGTCTTGGCATTCATTCATCTTTTCCCTGCCCCACAGAATTCTTGAACTAAGCTGGACCAAGGCCCAAGCACGCTTCCTGCCCCACCCCAAAGCAGCATTTCTGAAACTATGCATTTCCCTTCTTCTTCTGGTTGTGTCCTCAAAGGATGGGGACAGCAAGTTCTGTTCAGGCTGGCCACCTGGGGTTCCTAGTTTTACCTTTCCTATCTCAGATCTCTGACCACAGCCTGCCTTGGCCCCCTGCATCTCCCGGAACCTTCTTAGCTCTTGCACCCTTTCTCTGGGAGTACCCTCAACATGAAATAGAGTTAGGTCCATGCTCCTCAGAATAGACCAGCATACACACACTCCAAATATTTTTTGACCTTACTCATTTAATGCCACACATGATAGAGATGGACAGAGACTGTGTAGGCACACTCCTTTCAAAATAACAGTCCCTGGGATCTTGCAAGCTTCTACCTGGGCTGCATTAAGTGAAACTCCAGTCCAGGGGCCCATTTCTGGGCATGTACAAGTCTCAGAACTTTCTGTGTCTTTTCTGTGGCCTCCCAGTTGATAAGCCAAGACCCATACCCCCCCACCCCCACACAGACCAGTGACAGTGTCAGAGCTGGGACCAGAGCTGTGGTTCTGGTCCAGTAGGACCCATGTGTTTGTGGTGCTGCTGCAGAGCAGTTGGTGATGTGGGTATGAGGCTTCCTGCTTCAGCTTCACATCAACCAGACCCAGGGGTGGAAATGTGGCAGCCTGCAGGCAGACACCTAACTGGCTGGGGACGGTGGTGATTGCTGCCACATGGGAGCACATAATCTTATTAATCTTAACAGCTGTCTTCCAAAGAGGAGGCTCAAAGAGCTAAAGTGACTTGCTCCAGGTCATACTTACAGGAAATATGTGAGGGAGCTGGGATTCAAACCATCATCTTCTCTGGCTCCAAAGTCCTCCCCCAACACTAAGTTACACTTGCACATTCATGTTCCATCTCTGACTCTCAGGAGCCCATCTGGCAGATGGAACAGTTGTACCATGCTGGTAGGTCTTGATTCTACAAGGACTAGGCCTCTGACTAATCGTATATGTGGTCCCCACCCCACATCCATCCCTCCTGAACCCCATAGTTTGTATCATTTTCTGGGTTCTTTGTGTTGTTTCTATATTTGGAAGGATTTTCAGTCTCATTTCCTGGATTCTTTGTTGCTTTGGCCCAGGAGATGGGGCATATGTCATCCTGCCTTGAGATTCCTCTGAACATAGCTGGCAAGGAAATGAGAAAGGATCCTAATTAGGGGGCAATAACCCCCCGGAAAAACGCAGACCCTTTACAGTAGACTGTGTCCTTCCCACAAGCTCTGAGTATTTGTCAGATGTTTATAGAGCCTTCATTAAAAGAGAGCTTTCTTAGATAAGAGATTGGGAGTGCTGCATTGAGAGCCAGATAAGAACAAGTGGAGGACTGCCTGGGGAGGGCAGGGGAGAGCCTCGTGCTGGCCCCGGGGCACTCTGCAAAGCCTTCAGCAGGACGATGCGGGCTGTCTCCTCCAGGGCTCCTCCTCGCACCTGCTAACACACCTCGGCAGCCCTGCAGTCTCCTCTACAGGGCCCAAGATGTACCCTGGGGCATTGTGGGTGGCCCTGCCCACACTGTCCCTGCTGGCCTGCTCCCTGCAGGGGAAGCCGTTACAGAGCTGGGCAAGGGTGTCTGCGCAGGGAAACACCCGCAACTTTCTGGAAGATCCTGGAGGAGGGCGGCAGGAGGGCACTTTTGATCTGAAGGTGTTCCTGGAGAACATGAAGGTGGATTTCTTACGCAGCCTCAACCTGAGTGGGGTCCCCTCCCAGGATAAAACCAGACTGGAGCCGCCACAGTACATGATCGACCTGTACAACAGGTACACCGCCGACAAGTCTTCCACCCCAGCCTCCAACATCGTGCGGAGCTTCAGCGTGGAAGGTAGAGTCAGCTTGCTCCCATCTGCCCTGGGGTGGGACTCACCGGCCCACAGTGTGGACCCACTCTGCCCACTGGGGTGGCCACTGGCCACATATAGCTCTTCAAGTGTGCTTTGAAATGGATGACAGTGATATAAAATGAAAACTTAGTTCTCTAGTTTCACCAGCAGTGTTTCCAGGGCTCAATGGTTGTATGTGGCTAATGGCTTTCCTGTGGGGCAGTGCAAATCATAGGGCCTTCCACCATCACAGAAGGTTCTAGTGGACAGCTCTGCTCTGGCGGATTCTCCTTCCCCGGGCCACGTGCCACCTGTAATACGGTAGGTGCTCAGGGATGCTATCTTCCTACCCCTCCCTATCCCTCCCTCTACCCTTCCCTCTTCCTTTCTCTCCCTTCTGGATTTTTTTTTCTCTTCCCATCTGCCCCCACCCCAACATTTCTGTTCCTTTCCTACTTAGAAACAGACAACTGATTTAGCCCTTAATTGCTATATTTTAAAACTTTGGTGGAATTCATAATTCTCTCATAAAAGGGCTTTTAAAGCCCAGATAGAATCTTTTGACAGAGAAGTGTGAGAAGAGAATCTCATTATCTTCTAAATATAAATTTCCCTGACTAAGAAGGCTAGAAGATGAACATTGACTTAAAGCCTAAGTCTGCTAACTCATTCAACATCCCAGGATTAGGGGAAATGAATTTCTGAACAGGGAAGCCAAAGCTCACATGGCTGAACTTGTCCAGGTCAGGGCCACAGTAAAGGTTAAGCAGCTGGTTTCTGGCCTAGGCCCTGCAGCCTGTATAGCGCTGGCTTGTTTATCTGTTGCTTCTTTTTCTAAAGAGCTTCGAGCACTGAGTCTGAGACCTGCAAATGCCCAAGAGGCCCAGCTCAGTGCCACAGACAGGCCAGGCCAGAACTGCCCAGTCTGCAGAGCATGTGCCTGTGTAAAAACAGTATAATTTGAAACATGATCACTCAGTGTTATTGGATTTTCTTTTTACTCCAAAGCATAAAAAAATCTGGATTTTGTGTGAACTTCCTGATTTTAAAACCATGGCTTCATTTTAGTTTGTGTTTGTGTTTTTTGAAGTTGAAATTTGCAGGTCACCAGGTCCAGAGGACACAACTGTGACCTCCACCTTATGGGGGTAATGGGCTTCTTTGCTTGGGGCCTAACCCACCATATTCCACAGACCAGGGAGTCGAGCACATGAAACCCTGTCAGTGATCCCCTCACACACCCATACTCACATCAGAGTGCATGACCTGGGAAGCAATCCACTTTCATCTCTTCCATCTGATACAACTTAGGGAAGGTAGGAATTTGTTTGCTGGGTTTCTGATCCTGGCCCCACATTCATTGTCTAGCCATGCCACATTTAGATCACATTAGGTTGTGAATGCCTGGTTCACACTGTTCAATGTGCCATGGCAGCTCAGCACATCCCACAGGGGCTGAAATGGAGTAGCTATGCTGGGTAAGAGACCAGCGAGAGCTGAAGGGAAGAAGACCGTGTGATACGTTGCATGCAGGAAGTGTGTATGAGTTGGTAAAAGGGGAGGGACATAGAAGAATTCATTAGGTATCTGCTGTGAGCCAGGGACTGTGTCTGATAAGTTCCATATGTCACCTTGACAAAGCCTCACACCACTTGGGAGGGCAGGCATGATGAGCCCCATTCTACAGAAGGGAAAACTGAGGCTCAGGGAGATTCAGAACTTTCCCAGGTAAGCATAGAGGGTTGGTATTTCATTTCATCAGATACCAACACCTGCCTGCAGTGTTTTTACAGCACAAGGCCTTCATACATGTTGGAACATACAGTTGTCCTCCCTTATCTGCAGTGCAGAAAATTCCAGAAACAATTTATAAGTTCCAAATAGTTTGTATTATAGTATATTGTTCTAGTTGTTATATTTTAACTTTAATATTAACCATGGTTGTTAATTTCTTACCTTGTCTAAGTTATGAATTACACACACACACACACACACACACACAGTTGTATACTATTCCATACTTTCCTATCTATTGATTCATTGTATATCTTGGAACATATTCCTGGAGAATAAGAGGGGATGACTATAGAAGATAATCTAAAAGTGCAACTTTTCTTCTTCTTCTTTGTGTGTGTGTGTGTGGAGGGGAGTGGGTTAGCCATGGAATAGTGTAATGGCTAAGTGTCAACTTAGAAGAAATGGGAAATAGAGGTAATTATGTTACTAAAAGGCAAGCCCCATTTCTGACTGGACATACCTGCCTGGCTAATATTTGTCTTTCCTCTAATAAACACTGTCCATTTTCGCTTTGCTAGGACAATACAATTCCAAATAATTTCTACACTGCTTGGATGCTGATATTTCTTACCTTGTCTTAATTTAATTAGACTTTCATCATCCCCAACCAGATCTAATGTGGAAAAGGCATTTTGTATTTTTTTGTTATGTTAAGATAAATGACAAATAATAATTTAAAAAGATACTCACTGTGTGGATTTTGGCAATTAAATGTCTTGAGTCCCAGTCTGTACATCTGTAAAAGTGGAATAATAATCAGATCGTCCCTAAGTAAGGTGATAGGATTAAAGTAAGGTACAATATGTCAAGTTCCTAGCATATTGCTAGGTATGTAGTAAGTATTCAATAAATAGTAGGGACTGTTGACCTAACTGGAGGCATCTGCCTCTGCTTTTTCTTGGAAGATCCTAAATCAGTGTTTAAAAAACACTCTTCTACTAAGGACTGAAGTGAAATAGAATAGGGATAATAGAGAAAAATCTGTCATCCTAGATGTTGTTTTGTCCAAATGGTGAGATTTGATTTGGTGTCATGAGAACAGACACTGCAGACAGACATCTACCCTGGTGTATTTGCATTTCAGATGTTGTGTCTACAACTGCCACAGAGGACTTGCCATTCCAGAAACACATTCTTCTCTTCAACATCTCCATCCCCAGGCATGAGCAAATCACCAGGGCTGAGCTCCGTCTCTATGTCTCCTGTCAAAATCACGTGGACTCATCTCATGGGCTAGAAGGAAACATGGTCATCTATGATGTGCTGGATGGAGAAGATGCCTCAGGGACCAAGACCTTTCTGGTGTCCCAGGACATTCAGGATGAGGGCTGGGAGACCTTGGAAGTGTCCAGTGCTGTGAAGAGATGGGTCAGGGCAGATTCCACAAAGAGCAAAAATAAGCTCGAGGTAACTGTGGAAAGCCATAGGAAGGGCTGTGATACATTGGACATCAGTGTCCCTCCAGGTTCCAAAAACCTTCCCTTCTTTGTCGTCTTCTCCAATGACCGCAGCAACGGGACCAAGGAGACCAGGCTGGAGCTTAGGGAGATGATTGGCCATGAGCAGGAGAGCATCCTTAGGAAGACACCTAAGAAAAACTACAGGGAGGCAGGTGAGAACCAGGAGGATGAGGAGGAAGAGGAGGACGTGGACGGCCACATGGTCACAGGTTTGTCTTTAGCCAGACGGAAGAGGAGCATAGGGGCCAGCAGCCACTGTCAGAAGACCTCGCTAAGGGTGAACTTTGAAGACATTGGCTGGGACAGCTGGATCATTGCACCCAAGGAGTATGATGCCTATGAGTGTAAAGGTGGCTGCTTCTTCCCCCTGGCCGATGATGTGACACCGACAAAGCATGCCATTGTGCAAACCCTGGTGCATCTCAAGTTCCCTACAAAGGTGGGCAAGGCCTGCTGTGTGCCCACTAAACTGAGTCCCATCTCCATCCTCTACAAGGATGACATGGGGGTGCCCACCCTCAAGTACCACTACGAGGGGATGAGTGTGGCAGAGTGTGGGTGCAGGTAGTGGTTGCCCTCCAGACTAGGGGAGGCAGGGTGGGAATAGGGATTCTGATAAGAGACCCTGTGTCCCCTGGGTATGACAGGGAATAAGTTGATCTGCATGCTACCTGGAGAAGGAAAGGGAGCCTGCTGTCCCTCTCACTCCCCATGCAAAGTATGCACCACTGGCTCCTACTGGTGGGGAGGGTGACGGCTGGATAGTCTGGACGGCTGCTGGGATGGAAGGAAAATGATGACAGGGGAACATAAGAAAATACGGAGCAGAAATCTGAGCAGAAACTAGTCAGAGGAGTATAGACAGGTGACATGCAAACATTTATAGAAATTACAGAGGTCAAGGAGGATGAGGCTTATTCCAATAAACTTTGGGAGAGAAGAGAAAAGGAACAAGCTTTGACCAGCCATTTTTTGTCATTTCCCACACTCAAATGTGTTGGGCATTATGACTTCTGATTTACAGATCTCAAAACCTAGGCAGGTGAGTTAGTCCTGATCAATGGAGGGATTTCAACCCAAGTTTGTGTGACAACAAAGCCTGGGACCTTCCCATTCAGGTTAGCATGTCACTCTGTACTGAAAGTGCAATTAGACATTGTGAAGTTGGAGTATTGAGAACAAGCCGAGCTGAGCTCCAGTGGGTACTTACTGGTATGACTGGGCTGCTCATTTTATCTGGTACACAACCTTTCTGTGTGATGCCTGTATGCATTCTGTGGCTAAATGCTTAATAATACCACCCTCGAGTCACTGAGAAACCACACCCAAACCAACTGCAGAATAGAGAAAGATAGTTTAAGACAGTAGCACCTCTGACATGCATCGAGGCTACTTTGACTCTCTGGTGCAGAGCTCATACAATCACTCTATGATAGTCTGGGAGGGACAGCTGATGGTCTCAGCCTCTGCAGTTCCCTACTGAGCAGAAGGCACCCACGAGTGTCCCCTGCCAAATGATTCCACAGAGGATAGGACTAGAATTTGAATTTGTTGGAATTAAGTATGCTTTTGATTTAGTATGTAAAACATCCCTATTTTTAAATCCTCGGTGACATGCACTCAAGTGATAAGATGTCCAGCCTTCCTGGGTGAGGACTCCCTAGCCTCTGAAGACATCTGGTACTTATTGGCTGCCACTGGCTCGGACTGTTCTTGCCAGCTTTCTTGAGTAATGGGTGTTCTGCCTCCACTGGCTCCAGAGTAGGATAGAGTCTCCATTTCCTATGAGTTTCATCCTCTGCTCTGTCTCTCCTTGCTGTATATAGACCTGGATGGCATGAGGAAGAATTTGAGTCACAAAGATCCCAACCCATGGCCTGTTGACCCCTGACCAGAGCAGGGCCTGAAGGAGCCTTAGAAAGACCTGGGCACCCCCATTGACTGCAACTCCCTCATATTTAAAAAAAAAATAAAAGAAATGATTTGTGTTAAATGTTTACATGGAGTCAATGAATGACTTTAACACAAAAATACTATGAAACATTATTGTTTGATTGCTGGAGTTGGAGAAAATAGGAATTCGTGGTATGTGCTGACAGTGTGGTATGGCAATGTTGTTTACAGTTGGGTGACGATTTCTTTAAGTCCTGGTGGTGTGTTTCTGTGCCTGAGTGTAAGTGTCACTTGGAAATAAAGTCAAGTGTCTGATCTGTGACCTTTTCTAAATGTGACACAGGATCCTCCAGCTCCACACTCCTCCTTGCCTTGATATGTGTCAGCAATTTCCCCAGGTGGGGGTTGGAGAGGAGGACCATGGAGCTGCCACAGGGATGGTAGGCCAAGAGTGGCTGTGTCTGTCCATTGGAGTGAGTGGGTGTGTTTAGATATGGGCCTGTGTGTACATGTGAAGGTGTGAGCTACTGTCTGTGTAGAAGTTCTCAAGCGCATGATGATAGTTGCTTCACCTTCCTTCATGTTCCCATATATCAAAATAGGATGAACATGGCTCTAAGAAACATGAATAATCTCACTTCATCTCCACCCAGTGTCCAAAGGCCTATAAAACTCCTCCACTGTCTGTCTACCACACCCCTGCTCATATGCCCAGCTCCAGCCAAACTCCACCCAAAACCCACTCCTGTTCTCTGCCCTTGGTACACCATCCTGCCCCTTCCCCTCACTACCAGAAAAACAACCCAAGTCCCAGTGTCTGTGAGTGAGGCCCCAGCTCCAGTGTCACCCACCCTGGCCCCTGTTGAGGCTCCAGTTCCACCTTTCTACTCTTAGTAGGGCTACAGTGCTTCTGTTACACAGTTGCAACAGGCCTACCCTGGGGAGCTGCTGACCTCCTACCCAGTGCCACTTGTTACCTTGACTCTTCTGGAGAGGAAGCTGTGAGTCTCTCATCTTGTTAATTCCCACAGGGCCAATGTGCCTATAGCACAGGACAAACTGATATGGTCAGATGTGCAAAAACACAGAATGCAATGATTAAACTAAGATGTGTTCTCTAGTTTCCATTTCTCTGGGTCATTCTTTGCATAGGATTCTTCAAAGATTGTTCACACATGGACATAGAACGCAATGGAGCATCACCATCCTTTAGTTACTTATGTGGCCCAAAAGCACCTTGCCTACTGACCTCCACTTTCAATGCTGCATTGGAAACAGTTCGCAAAGCTTTTTCCTTTTATTATAACAGGGTGGAAACCTTGTCACTGAAATTCAGCTTGAGAGAGCATGCCCACAATCTTTGGATTGCACTTCTGCTGCCCAAGACTTCCTCAAGATCAAGATCAAGTTCCTATTAACAGCAATAATCAAAGTTAGAGCATGAAGGAGACAAACCAGACAGAACCTGTCATTTTATATGTAAATGCTGCCTTCCCCTGGGTACTGTCCACTCCAGACTCCATCCTCCTTAGGCTTTGTCCTCCATGGGCACTGTCTTTTTTGCCCCACTGTGCAAGATCCCGTGAGCATCCGGGACACCTATAGGGCACCACTCATTGCAGAAGAAGTTTTGTTAACAGGGTCACGAAACACTGTGGTTTTATCATTCCAAGAAGCTTACCAGATTTGCAAGAGGGGCAAAATCCCTGTTCATTATCAGCTGGCAAACTTCTTCTTTCCAAGGCTGGCTTTATTCCCATGCGGGCCAAACCAACACATGTGGAAGTGGGAGGCCCTGCCCCACTCAGCTCAGAGGCTCTTTTTCACTTAGTGCTAAAGGTTTGGTTCTATATTCAGTTTGTCTAACCAGATCTACTTGTTCTGGACATCAGATTCTTCCTTTATCTGCTGCACATATGACTTGAATACATATGACTTGTGCCTGAGATGGGTCTTCTTGGACTCAGGAAGCTCTCATACCATCATTTGAGCTGGTTCTCATAGCAGCCCCAAAGGAGGTTTTGCTTGCTCCTCTATAGATGAGGTCAGCATGTTGGAGGTGGTAGCTCAGGACACGCAGCCGCAAAGCCTGGGGCCTGTCCACCTCTGTGGGATTTTTCTCTGCCTGGCCAGCCTCTGAAGCAGGCCCAGATGCAATCTGTAATGGCACAGAGAGTCTCAAGGTTAGGTCCTCAGGGTTGTGCTCTCCTTTCACCCACAAGAGGCCTAAGCTCAGAGGGTTTTGGAATGGATAGGAGCATAGGTGAGTGGCTTGGGCAGCTGCACAGGCCTTGAGATGATTTGAATGTTTTGGGGCCATCTTGACATTTGTAAGAATTATTGAAAAAAGGGCCACCATTTTCATTCCTCAGTCAGTCCTGCAAATAATGTTGCTGATTCTGCATACAAATGTGTGTTTGGCATCTTGGTTTTCCAAGTCCCAGGGGCACCCTGGAGGCTGATTCAGGGAATGATTCAGTCCCCAGGAGACCTATTTCATTAACACATGATGTTGCCCATCAGAAAGATGCCCCCCCAGCCTAGGTGAACATCTGCCTTTCTGCAGCACCATCTGTTTGGTGAACCTGACATAGGAGCCGTCTTGATGGAGGCTGTGGGGAGTCCTCTGCTGTGGCAGACATGACTAGCATACTGACCCACAAGGGGCTGGAGAGATTTTCCAAAAGTTTCTTTCTGGATAAAGTGTGTAAGATGAGGGCAGCAAAATTGTTCATTAAAGTCACATGTGGTTTTGGGTGTGCTTATCTATCTCTTCTGCTTTTATGAAATGATAGAGACTGTAGGTAATAAGTTTTTGTTTTTTATAATGTCCATAACCCTGCACTATTGCTCATAATGATTTCTGAGCTATAGATCTATGAAATCCCACAGGGTGTTTTCTTCTAGCATCAGTTCCAATCCACAACTCTAGGAACTCTACAGTCAGGTGTGTTGATGGGTGCCACTACACTGTGAAGGAAGCAGCCTCACCCAACCCTGGGCCAGCTGCAGACCCTGGTGTTCATGGTCTGGCCAGACCACTTGTCCTCTTCCCTTGTCCTTCTGAGCACTCAACAACCCGAGAGAACTTTATAATGTGTGAGAGAAGATAGACAAACAAGAATCATCCACTCAGAATAATTCCATTTATGCAAATTCTAGAAACTTTCTGATGACAGAAAACTAAGGAGTAAATTGCCTAGAGATGGGGATGTGGGGTGGATTGGCTAATAGAGTGTGGGGAAAATTTGGTGGTGAAAGTAATATACATTATCACATAATTTCATGGGTTTATATACAGGTCAATACTCACCAGATTATACAATTTATGTATGGGCAGTTTTTCATATGTTAATTATATATCAATTCAGTTGTGAAAAACAAAATGTACACATTTATTATACAACTTAGAATTTACTGGAAAAGTATGTTGCAGGAAACAAACAAGTATATATACCCTGAATTCAGGAAGCCCTTTTTTGAGGATTTATATACAGAAACAGAAAACAATTGACCCTTAAAAATATGTCCATGAGAATATTTCTTGCAATGTCATTAAAGAAGGAAAACGAATTACTTGAAATATCTCACTAGGTGACTTTTCTGTTGAATGCCACACACCAGATAATTTATAAAGAACAGTTTATTTGGCTTATGGTTCTGGAGGTATGAGGTCCAGAGTACAGCAGCGTTTGTTCAGCATCTAGTGAGGCCTTCTGCTGCTACATAGCATGGTGGAGGGCATCGCATGACAAGACAGAGCAAGTGTGCTAACTCTCATCCCTCTTCCTCTACTCATAAAGCCACCAATGCCATCCCAGGCTCCCCCTCTATTTCACCCCCTGCCATGGCCTCATCTAATCTTAATTACCTTCCAAAGGACCCACTTCCAAATATCACTAACACCTAACTTTGAGGATTAATTTTCAACACATAAATTCCAGGGGCCATACCCAAACCATAGCACCAGGGGAACAGATCAGCACATCATCAAGAACTCTTCTAGAGCCATTAAAATGATGAATTTAATGGATGGACTTTGAGTGGGAGGGATGTTTATGCTGTATGTTTTAAGTGAGTAAAACAAAATGCAGCTTACTCTCTACACTACCCTGGGCTGGGAAGATTTGGTGGGGGTACACCCACAGGTGTGTCTCTCCTTCAGGTGTGTCTCCATCTATGATACAGAGACAAGTGAGAACAGAAAGCTATTTAGTGGGTATACAGATAACCAGAAATAAGGCTCCTTTTGGGGAAGGCCTTCATAAACCACTTGGTAAACATCCTGAGAGAATAATTTCCAGAGAGCAGATTATGGCTCCCCACTGTGCAAAGAAAGACCCCCGTCTCCAGGACCATGTTCTCAGATGACCAGAAATAAGGCTCCTTTTGGTTATTACTGGTTAGTAAAAAAAATCTGAATCAGAAGAAAGTCTTTGGGAAGAGATTATTTACACATTTTTGTAAAAATTAGTACCTTTTACTCTTTTGATTTCAAAAAAGTAAACACAAAAAGGCAAAATAAGGACAAAGTTCAACTTAAAATGACTAAAAAATACACTGCTTGTGTGTTGTGGGGTCAGAGAGGCAGAGTTGAACAAAGGAAAGGGTAAGAAATGTCTAGAATCTAGGTAGGTAGTATTAAAATAACTAAATTAGAGGTCCTTAGACCTGGTGGCTCTAATGCCCTGTGCTTCCTACATGAACAAATTAAGACCTAACTCAGTCCCATTTCCTATACACGGCTAATTTAAAAGAAAATAAAATTAAAGCTCCACCAGTCACAGTAGCCAACTGAACGTCAGGTTTATTGTCTTGAACTACCCACTGGGATACTCCAAAGACAAGAACTCAAACTTTAACCAATCAAATAATTTCCTTTTTCTGCTTGGGCATTCACCCTATAAAAGCCTTCCCTAGGGCTCCTTTGGGTTGAAGCTGTCCAATTAGTGTACTGTTGTCTGTTCAAATAAATAAACTCAAAATTTTTATTATGCCAAAGTTTACCTTTTAACAATAAGTATATGGATATTTACTTTACCCTTGCAAACTTTCACCATGAAAGCTCCTACTCTGGAGACTTGCCCAGAACAGGGTGGGCTAAGGAGGCTGGCTGCCTTCTGCTTACAGCTCCCTTCACTTGCAGGCCAGGCACCTCAGGCTCCTGGAGAGTTTCCAGAACTCTGAGAACAAAGCATGCCCTCTAACCTGCTGCGGGCTCTACCCCAGGTGGAAGCACTGCCGGTCTTCCCAGCCTCTGCTCAACCCAGGCACCCCAGAGACTTGTAACAAACTTTGATTCTTTTTTTCACCTCCTCCTGAGGCTCTGGGCCATTCACACAAATCAAGGCCCAGCCACAGTTCCAGGCACTCTATCCGGAGAGCTCGTCTCTGTACTACATGTTCCCCAAAAAGAGCCTTATTTCTGTATCCCTAGGCTTTTCTGTCCAGAGCTTGGCCCGTCTCCAGCAAAGACAGAGCAATGCCCTTGGAGGAGTTCCGGGCCACGTGCTCCAAGGTAGGGTTTCCTAGGTGGAGTCAGAGTAGAAGGTCTAGTCTTCCCATAGGACCTGAGGAAATGAACAAAATGATTTTTATAGGGCAATGTCTATGGTATCACACCTCTGGCCTGATTCTTCCAGCAAATCAGGCTCATTTCCATGGGTTGCAAATGGTGAAGAGATGTGACCATATGTTGTTTGGGCATTAAACAAATCCTAATGAGCTAAAAATATGTTTGTTTTAGCTAATTGACCTCTTTGGCCTTCATAAACCACTTGGTAAACATCCTGAGATAATAATTTCCAGAGAGCAGATTGTGGCTCCCCACTGTGCAGAGAAAGACCCCCGTCCCCAGGACCATGTTCTCAGGATGCCTGCTGAGGTGCACATGGGATCCTATCTACTCCCCACTCAGCCCAAGAAGTGTTTCCTGGAGAAAGCTGAGGGGACCCAGGAAGGGCAGAGCCACAGGCGACTCTTCCAACTGCTGCTCCCAGGCTACACCACTGAAGTCTGAACCATGGTTGTCTTGTCTGTTAAAAGAGAGAAATATTCCTTGCCCAGAGAGATGCCTTGTCAAACAGGAGTTCTAGGTTTTGCTATATGTTACTGGCAAGTCATTTTCAAGCAAGACTCGTGTTATTTCTAGGAGAAGATCTAGGAGCAGGGAGCCCAGGAAATGTAGCTGGGACTGGTTCGCAGGGGTGCTCCATGCAGGTGGGTAGAATGATCTGGATTCTGTGTGAGGTCTGGCACCACAGAGACCCAAGTCCTCCAATAACTCTGTTCTTCCTGTAGTTGGCAGGCTGTGGCTGAGCCCTGAACTAATTAACGGGGGGTCTCCTTCAACCAGGAGAATAATGCTTATTAGATCTCAGGGCTAACTTCATCTGATCTGGAATCACTGGTCCTATGAAGCCCAGAAGGTGGGTGGGCTGCCATACTCCATGCCAATGTCCAGAGATGTCATTCATCTCATTGGAAAGCTGTGGGAGGACATACCTGGTTGCCAGAGGCATTAGGAAGAGGTAGGAATAAAGTTCAAGACTGGAGGCTGGTGGTGTACTCAGACTTAACCTCTGCACTATCTGAGCCAACCTTGGCCTCATTGGCTTCTATTTGCTGCCCCCACCCCCACCCCTGGCCCTGCATCCCCATGAAATGTTAGACTTAATTAGCTACTGAACTACTCTCTGGCCTGTTTCTCTGGCTATAAAATTGGGATAATATCTAATTTAGCAGGTTTACCAATAATTGGGAGCTTTTTATTTGCTGGTTACTGCAAAATATTTCATACAGAAGCACTTATGTGCTCTATATCATAAATAAGATACTTCCCTAAGTTCTCAGAATAGACTGCAAAGAGATCTACCCAATTCCAGAGTCCTGGGTCACCCAGAGAAGTGGGAGAATGATATTTATTTGTAGGTTCATAACTTCCTTTGCAAGGCTCTGGGGGGAAATGTTGGTTCATAAAACACACAGCACAGTGCCTGGCATGTACAAGGAATTCAAAATAAACAGCAGTTATTTGTGTTATTCTATGCAGGGATTGCTCAGCAAGATGAGATACAGTGTTCCTTCCGGGTCAAACCACCCCAGCAGCTTTTCTCCAGTCCCTGGGGCCGATGCGCTTGAATTAGACAGGATTAAAGGCTTACTGGAGCTGGAAGCCTTACCCCAGCTCCCAAGTTGAGCCCCAGACCTTCTGTCTGCCTACTGAGAAGGACGAAGGAGGAAGGCAGAAGCACAGAGCAGAGCTTTGGCCTTGCACAGTCAAGGGGGCTTTTGTTCAGGAGTCCTGGGTCACCAGGACTAAGCCTCCTGGGGATCCCCACCATGAGAGAATGGCTCTTGGTCCTGTCCATGCTGTTCTATGGACTGGCTGGCCCCACGCTCCTGTTCCAGCCGAGCCTCGTGCTGGATATGGCCAAGATCCTCTTGGATAACTACTGCTTCCCAGAGAACTTGATGGGGATGCAGGCAGCCATCGAGCAGGCCATGAAGAGTGATGAGATTCTGAGCATCTCAGACCCTCAGACGCTGGCCCATGTGCTGACAGTTGGTATGCAGAACTCCTTGAATGACCCGCGTCTGATCATCTCCTATGAGCCCAGCATTCCAGAGGCTCCCCAGCAAGCCCCAGCTCTCACCAACCTCACACTAGAGGAACTACTTTCTGGGTTGCAGACAAACATCCACTATGAGATCCTGGAAGGCAATGTGGGCTACCTGCAGGTGAATGACATCCCGGGCCAGGAAGTGCTGAGCAAGCTTGGGGGATTCTTGGTGGAACACATGTGGAATAAGCTTATGGGCACCTCTGCGTTGGTGCTGGATCTCCGACACTGCACTCGGGGCCACATCTCTGGTATCCCCTATATCATCTCCTACCTGAATCCTGGGAACACTGTCTTGCATGTGGATACCATCTATGACCGCCCCTCCAATACTACCACAGAGATCTGGACCCTGCCAGAGGTTCTAGGAGAGAGGTACAGTGCAGACAAAGATGTGGTGGTCCTCACCAGTGGACGCACTGGGGGTGTGGCTGAGGACATCGCGTACATCCTCAAGCAGATGCGCAGGGCCATTGTGGTGGGTGAGCGGACTGAGGGGGGTGCCCTGGACCTCCAGAAGCTGAGGGTAGGCCAGTCCAATTTCTTTCTCACTGTACCTGTGTCCAGGTCCCTGGGACCCCTGGGTGGAGGCAGCCAAACGTGGGAAGGCAGTGGAGTGCTACCCTGTGTGGGAACACCAGCTGAGCAAGCCTTGGAGAAAGCCCTGGCCATCCTCACCCTGCGCCGTGCCCTGCCTGGTATTGTCCGTCATCTGCAAGAGGCCCTGCAGGACTACTATACCTTGGTGGACCGTGTGCCAGCCCTGCTGCACCACCTGGCCAGCATGGACTACTCTGCAGTGGTCTCAGAAGAGGATCTGGTCACTAAGCTCAATGCCGGCCTGCAGGCTGTGTCTGAGGACCCCAGGCTTGTGGTGCGGGCTGTTGGGCCCAAAGAAACCTCTTCTGGGCCTGAGACTGAAGTTGATGATACCCTAGTTGCAGCCCCTGAGGTGCCTGAGTTGCCCCAGGATGATGCTGCCCGGCAAGCGGTGGTGAACTCTGTATTTCAGGTGTCAGTGCTGCCAGGTAACGTGGGTTACATGCGCTTTGATGGATTTCCAGATGCCTCTGTGCTGGGGGCACTAGCCCCCTATGTACTACGCCAAGTGTGGGAACCCCTGCAGGACACAGAGCACCTCATCATGGACTTGCGCCATAATCCCGGGGGACCATCCTCGGCGGTGCCTCTTCTGCTGTCCTACTTCCAGGGGCCAGGGGAAGGCTCTGTGCGCCTCTTCACCACCTATGACCGCAGGACCAATGTCACACAGGAGCACTTCAGCAGCAGCGAGCTGCTGGGCCCACGCTATGGAAACCAGCGCGGGGTGTACTTGCTCACCAGCCACCGTACTGCCACTGCAGCTGAGGAGTTCGCCTTCCTCATGCAGTCCCTGGGCTGGGCCACTCTGGTGGGCGAGATCACTGCGGGCAGCCTGCTGCACACCTGCACTGTGCCACTGCTGGATACGCCTGAAGGAGGTCTGGTGCTCACTGTGCCAGTGCTAACTTTCATTGACAACCATGGTGAGAGCTGGCTGGGTGGCGGCGTGGTGCCTGATGCCATCGTACTGGCTGAGGAGGCCCTGGACAGAGCCCAGGAAGTGCTGGAGTTCCATCGCAGCTTGGGAGCCTTGGTGGAGGGCACAGGGCACCTGCTGGAGGCCCATTATGCACGGCCAGAGGTTGTGGAGCAGATGGTGTCTCTGCTGCGAGCCAAGCTGGCTCATGGGGCCTACCGCACGGCCGTGGACTTGGAATCGCTGGCCTCGCAGCTCACTGCGGACCTGCAGGAAGTGTCTGAGGACCACCGCCTGCTGGTGTTCCACAGTCCTGGTGAGCTGGTGGCTGAGGAGGTGCCCTTGCCACCCCCTGTTGTCCCCTCTCCAGAGGAGCTCTCCTACCTCATCGAGGCCCTGTTCAAGTCAGAGGTGCTACCTGGCCGGTTGGGCTACCTACGATTCGATGCCATGGCTGAGCTGGAGACGGTAAGGGCCATCGGGCCACAGCTGGTTAGGCTGGTGTGGCAGCCAGTGGTAGACACAGCCGCGCTAGTTATTGACCTGCGCTACAACACTGGCAGCTACTCCTCGGCTCTGCCACTGCTGTGCTCCTACTTCTTTGAGGCAGAGCCCCGCCAGCACCTCTACTCCATCTTTGATAGGGCCACCTCAAAGGTCATGGAGATGTGGACGGTGCCCCAGGTTACCGGGCAGCGTTACGACCCCCACAAGGACCTCTACATACTGATGAGCCACACCAGTGGGTCTGCGGCAGAGGCCTTTGCTCACACCATGCAGGACCTGCAGCGGGCCACAGTCATTGGGGAGCCCACAGCCGGAGGGGCACTCTCAGTGGGCATCTACCAGGTGGGCAGCAGCCCCTTATATGCCTCCATGCCCACCCAGATGGCCCTGAGTGCCACCACTGGTGAGGCCTGGGACCTGGCTGGTGTGGAACCTGACATCACTGTGCCCGCAAGCGAGGCCCTCTCCACAGCCCAGGATATAGTGGCTCTGCGTGCCAAGGTACCCACAGTGCTGCAGACAGCTGGGAAGCTTGTAGCTGATAACTACGCCTCCCCTGAGCTGGGGGCCAAGATGGCTGCCAAGCTGAGTGGTCTCCAGAGTCGCTATGCAAGGGTGACCTCAGAAGGGTCCCTAGCTGAGATGCTAGGGGCTGATCTGCAGCTGCTTTCTGGGGACCCACACCTGAAGACAGCCCATATCCCTGAGGATGCAAAGGACCGCATTCCTGGAATTGTACCTATGCAGGTGAGATACGAGAGAGATTTGGCCTAATCCAATCCTGGAAGTGAGCACACCAGTAGTCTCCAAGTGCAGGGCTTTGTGTGCAGTGCAAGGCAATTTTTTTTTTTTTCTGGGCTTGTTTTCATGGTTAAATCTTCAGTCATGTCTCCCCCCCCTCCCCCACCAATCATTCCATCCACCTCCTAAGCTCAGGAATCCCAAAACCCTTCTATAGAACATTATTACTCAGCAGAATACTGTTTTTGAAAACCCCTGGGATAGAAGAAGGAGACATTTGCAGGGGTTCTCATTATGAGTGTTGGGGAAAGAGGTCCCCAAGCTCTGATTTCTCCTCTGGACATGTGGAAGTTTGTTAATCCCTACCCACTGCCTGTTTCTGGGCTTTGCAATTTGCGTGAATGAGTTGGGGTAGAGCTGGAGAAGTGGGGGTAGGGACAGGGAAGGAGACAGTGGCCCCAGCCTCACAGTGGCCTCAGAGCTAAAACACGGAGCCTGGACACAGGCCATAGAGGGGCCAGGGATGCCAGACACAGCCCAGAAGCCCCCCTGCATTAGAAGCCTACTGCTCATCTCTTCCCTTCCCACAGTGCAATGTGCAGCCTCCTGAAGGAGAAGTGCTGGGTGGATATGCAGCCTGATCTTAGGGCCAGCTGGATGGAAAACTCAGAGCAAGACCCCCATGATTGAAATATTTAAAACCAGCACTGAGGCTTTGGGAGAACATGAAAACAGGTGGAGGGAGTGTGGCTGCTGGGTCCAGTGGCCAAGGTGGCCACACGATTCACCAAGTGCCCCACCACTAGATGAGCACTGCCTCAAAGGGCAGCACTTATAACATCTCTCTTCACTGTTTTCTTACTGGGGTTTTGCTGCTTGGTCACTATGAACAGGCAGGACATTTGCTTTGGTTCTCTTGGAAGGAAGGCCTGAAGTTAGGATGTGGGTGCAGGCAGCTTATTTGGGAGGTGGTCACTGAGCAGGAGTGAGAGAGCAGGGAGTGAGATGGGGCAGGAGGAGAGCAGATAGCTGGGCTCATTGTTTAGACTGCTCCTGCAGAGGACAGCAGGACCCTGAGAAGTACAGGATCCCTCCTTAGGTGAAAAGGACCTAGCAGCTCCTGTTCCTCCATTTGCTGAGAATACCCTGGGAACATCAACTACTGTACACTGGGGCAGAGAAGGTTTGTACCACTTGGAGAAGGCCTGACACAGTGCAGAAAGACATGAGGGTATGCAGGAAGGGCAGGTATAACTAGAATCAGAGAGGGACCAAGGGGAGGGCAGGTCTAGAGACCAGTGTCCCCATCCACACAGATCTCCCTGCTGGCTCCATGCCCTCAGCCTGCCTCATTGAGTGCTACCTTCCAGCAGCCTTGGAGAGAGAAGGAGAGAAGTACAGCCATGTTGGGGGATCCTGGGATGGGCTTTCAGAACTACAAATTTCTAAATTGCCTGCTTGTTGTTTTCCAGCATAGCCAGGGTTCACAGTTTGGAGTTAGATGTGGATTCAGAGTGTGGCTTCATCTCTTACTGGCTATGTAACCTTGAGCAATTTACTTAATCTCTCCGTGATTCAGTTTTTTTATGGGAAAGATGACAGTAATGGTGTAACCTGTAAGGAATGGCTATAAGGGTGATGATAAAGCTGCAGAATGCTTAGCCCAAGGCCAGGCCCCTGGGAAAGGTAACAATGTCTCCCCTCCCTGCCAGAGTGGAAGAGAGGAAGATGAGCCCAGGGACACTGAGAAGTGTTGGGGGAGACTATGCCTGGACCTTCAGCTCTGGATACCAGGGAGTGGGGTTGGCAGACATGAGTATTCTCTGGAAGGAGGTTGTCAATCAATGAATCAATTGATTCGTTTATATGAGTTCACATCCTGGGCCTGAGTTCACCAACCTCCCAGATGTGCCACAGCAATTCCCTAGTACCTGCTAACTCCTTCAGAAATGTTTGTTCCCTTCCTATCCCCTTAATATTTCTCATGACATAAAGGGAACCTATAGCACCCATTTTCTGGGGCTCTACCATGTGCTGCTCTCCTGACACTAACAGGACTTCTGACTCTTCCAGATCCCTTCTCCAGAAGTCTTTGCAGACTTGATCAAGTTTTCCTTCCACACTAATGTGCTGGAGGACAACATTGGCTACCTGAGGTTTGACATGTTTGGGGACTGTGAGCTGCTCACCCAGGTCTCTGAGCTGCTGGTGGAACACATCTGGAAAAAGATTGTGCACACAGATGCCATGATTATCGACATGAGGTCAGTAGCTCAAGAACCAGTGGTCTGGCCAGACAGTAGCCAGAAGACACCAGAGCTATGGGCTGTAGCAAGGAAGAAAAAGACCCTATGATGCAAAAAAGAGAAGACAGGGACCAGACCACCTTGCAACTGGGCCTCTTGCCAACCAGCCCTGGGGTCCCGTTTTAATTGCATGGTGGGGCCCCAGCACTGATAAGTTCTTTTAAGCTCCTCCAGTAATCCCAATGTGTATTTCAGGTTAAGAATTACCCCAGACTTATTTCCTGGTTATAAGAATCCAATAGGGGTGGGAAGGGCAGGGGACACTAAACATATTGATTCCTGGACCCTACTCCAGACTTCCCGAGTTAGTAGTCCCAGGGTGCAGGCATAATTGGTATATTTAACAAGCATTTAAGGTAGTTCTGATGATTAGTCCTATTAGGGACAGCTGAATCCTATACCTGTGATTGTGCTTCAGAACATACAAAATCAACCCTGGTCATGAGAATCAGAAAGCCAGTGATGCAGAGAGAATTTGTAAATGAACATTATCATTGCAAAAAAGAATTCTTTGCATCACAAAATGGTTGTTGGAAGGATGTCTTCAGCTAGCCTTCTCCCTTCTGCATAGCAAAAACATACCTTACATGCAGTGAGTTCCCATCACAGAATAGAAGCCGGGAAGCAGAAAAGTCCTCAGGCAATGGCTAGGACCAGGCTTCCTTGACTCCCGAGTCCTTGGTGGATATGCCCTGGACACTCTCCATGGGCCTGGGAGGAGCAGCCTGCTCCCATCTGACAGGGACACTTCCTATTCTCCCAGATCCTTGATAGAAGGGGCAGGATTAGCAGACAGGGAACTTCTAGACCAGCTACTGGTTGCTAGCTGGCAACACTCACATGGCTCTTAGTTACCACTAGGTGGCACTGAATCCCAGCGAGGCTGGTTCTCCCTTGAAGGTAAATCATTTCCCAACACCGTGCATTTGTGCATGCCCAGCACCGGAATTTGGGGTTCTGGGGTTCCTCTGACCCTTTTATTCCTCAAATCCTTTAGTGAACAATGGAACCACCTTTAGTTCTAAATCTCTTTCTGATTAAATGAGTCATCAACAATTTTAAAGAGGAGGAAGTCTCTGCCTGTAGTTAGAACTGACTTAAAAACCCTTTGGTCCCTGAGGTTTGGAAGTTCAGATGCTGGGGTCATGGGCCATGAACAAAGCTAGGCCATCCTAAGCCATTGACCAGAAAAGGTTTCTGACATATCACCAGACTCCCAGATGGGAAGGTAGGGGAACAGCAAGGTCATATAGTGGGGCAAATTCAAATGCCCTTAGATGGACTCAGGTGCCCTCATTCCTGATGTAATTCCACAACCCTGAGTATACTGCAACACTAAGAGCCATGTTAGGACACCTGAGATATCTGGGGGGTTTTGTAAAATTATCATAGAATGCAACTGGGGATAATGATGTTTTTCAAAATATGCTCCATTGGTAGGCACTGTGGGTATAGGGGAGCAGTCCCTGGTCAATACCTGGAGGAAACTTGCTGACAAATTTCTAACTGCAGGACATATCGGAGCCTTTAATGAATTAATATGCGATTAGAAGGAGAGGGCATGGTATTCAGTATTTTCTGAATGTATTTGACACAAAGTCTCTTGGTCTTAAGAGACTGGTACTCTTGGAAATGCTCTGGGTAATACCTACCCATGGAACTCTGAAGGACCAAGGCTGCTTGGGATTAGAACCCTCCATAGGACTAAGGTTCCAGGCCCTAAAGGAGCCTGAGGACCTACCTGTGAGATCCATTTCCCTTCCCTCAGGTTCAACATTGGTGGCCCCACCTCCTCCATTGCTGCCCTGTGCTCCTACTTCTTTGATGAAGGCCCTCCAGTTCTGCTTGACAAGATCTACAGCAGGCCCAATGACTCTGTCAGTGAACTCTGGACCCACACTCGTCTTGCAGGTGAGTGAAGACTTCCCTTTCCTGTTCTCATTCTAGAAGCTTCTGGAAAATCAGGGAAGGACCACTTGACATTAGGTAAAATTCACAGTAACTGGAAGAACATAAAAGCTGCTGTCCTGATTTCATGCACTTGGTGCTATGACCTTGAATATCAGCAAAACATATACTATCTTCTCTAGAGGAGAAAATGAGGTCAATTAGATTGAATATCTTGAAAGAGTTCACTCAGTTAAAAGTGAAAGAGCCAAAATGAGAATGTTCAGGCAGTCCTTGAGCATTATAGAACAATAATTCTCAAAGTCCCCTTCCTGAGTAGACGGCTTCCTCCCTCTCCCCTACCTAGCATTCAGAACTAGGAAACTGTTCTCCCATCTCACAAGAGGACATTGGAGGCCAATGGGGCTATGTCTATGACCAGAAAAGCAGCCTACCATTTTCTTCCTGCACTTCCTTATTATACATGCATTTCACCATAGCTTCTGGAATATATATCTAATAACATTTCAAGTTGTAAATAAATATCAGAACCAGATAAATTCTAAATTCAAACAGACATTCAAGACCAGGAGTTAAAACAGACTCAGATCTGAATATCGTAAGATCCTAGAACTTCAAAGTCCATTAGGAGAGCCAAGAGCTGAACACTTTAAATGTGGCTCATCACCAGATTTAGAAGACTTATTAGGGGAGGCTGGGGGTTGGAGGATGAAAGAAAGTGAAAAACTCCATTAATACATTTGATTGCATTTGAAATGAACATATTATGAATATATTAGATAAAACAAATCATAATTTAAATTGACTTTATCTAATTTCTTTTTTTTTCTTATTTACCAGGGCAACTAAAAAACTTGAAATAACAACAGTAGCTTGTTTTCTGAGTTGTGTTACCTATCTATTGGACAGCATTGTCCTGGAAGGGTATCCTTGTTCATCCACAAATTTGGCTCTTCTCAGGGCCTAACACAAAAAAGAAGTCAGGTCAGCTTCAGGAAGAGAAAGCATCAGGTCCTCAGGAGGTTAAGGCTTTCCCATCATCACCTGCCTTGGGGGCGGGGGTTCACAGGCACTTATACACACTCTTGTCTCCATTTTTCAGATGTAGAACTGAGGCTCAGAGAGGTTAGTGGCTTGCTTGGAGACACAGGGCACGGGACTAAATCCTAGGCCCTCCTCACTGCTGGCTCAGGGAGTACAAAAGAAGCAGGTGCCCAACAGCCTGACTTGAGTCCCCATCCTGAAGGGCTTTCTGTCTTCCAGGTGAACGCTATGGCTCCAAAAAAAATGTGATCATCCTGACCAGTGGTTTAACAGCTGGTGCTGCGGAGGAATTTACCTACATAATGAAGAGGCTGGGCCGGGCCCTGGTCATTGGGGAGGTGACCAGTGGGGGTTGCCAGCCACCACAGACCTACCACGTGGACGACACCCACCTCTACATCACCATCCCCACAGCCCGCTCTGTGGGAGCTGCAGATGGCAGCTCCTGGGAGGGAGTAGGAGTGACACCCCATGTGCTGGTGCCAGCAGACCTGGCCCTAACCAGAGCCAAGGAGAGGCTCCAGCACATTCTGAGAGGGTGAGGTGGAGCTGGGGTCTGTGGGAGGACCCCCATGGGCAGAGCTCTGGGTGGGTAAGAACTCTGGGTCTGCCTGAGGCTCCAGGGGCAGCTCAGAGACCTCCTGTGTTCTGGTTAGTCTTAGAGTAGGAGGAACCTTTAGGGCTCATCCATCTGACATCCTCATCACTGCACCAATCCTCTCTGCTTAGATTCTGCCCCCGACCCCCCCGCTGCCACCCATGGAAAGCTCACCCCCTTTACAGGCAAGTCCAGATCCATTCTCTCACCCAGCTTCCCAATCCCTGTACCTTGGTCTTCATGCTGTCACCAAGAGCAGCCTCACCAGTAGAATACATGAATCACAGATGAAAGATATTCACATTTCCTGGTAGCCACATTTTTAAAAAGTAAAAAGAAACAGGTGATTAATTGTAACTGTATTCTAATACTGCAGGTTCTCCTCCCTGTACGGTGGTTTATATCATGATAAGCAAAATGTGAGTCGAAAATATTGCAAGTTAAAATGCATTTAATGTCCAGATAAACCTATTACAAAGACAAAAACCATAAGTAGAACCGTAGTAAGTCAGAGACCATCTACATATTTTATTTAACCCACTATATCCAGGGTGGTATGGATTTACCACATAATTAATATAGAAATGATACTGAATATGATGTTTTTGTACAAGGTCTTTGAAATGTGGTAGGTAGTGTGTACTTATAGGACATCTCCAGGTTTCTAGTGCTCAGCTTGTGACTCCCTTGTGGGATGACACAAGCCATAAGCTTAGGAGCCTGGCTCCTGCTGCACACTGTCCCTGCTAGAGTAAGAGAGGCCATGGCCAGTGTCTTGTTGTGGGGGTTCTTCCTGCTGAGGAGGTGTAAGCCACCTGAGAAATAAAAGTCTAGAATAGTTAGTTAAGAACAAAAAACATGGAGTCAGAAATATATTTCCAAAGCCCCTGATAGGTTTAGTCCACAGGGGTGCTGGAACTAGACAAAGGAAAGATGGCTCTGGTGGTTTATTTAAGGGGGTACATCAAAGGCTGGGATAAGGTTTTAAGGGTGAAGTCTTGCTTCTTGATGTCTTGCAGTCAGCAGGTTGATTGGCATCCTGGCAGGTCACACCCATCTCATGTGTGGGATAGGAATTCACAATGTCCCTGCATAATTGACCAGAGGAAATGTCACTGGTCATTCCCAGACACCAGATGTTTCTATCCACTAGGCTTTGATGCATGATGACCCACACACAACCCATGGATGGCTCGTGACATTAGAGCACCTCCCACACTGCTCAAAGGTCATTTTCTACTATGTAGCCCTCAAACTCAGGCAATGTCCTACTCAATCTTAGTCTCTGATGCCTGGCAGCCAGCAGGGCATCTGGCAGAAATGTCGGATAAACAACGATTACACGTGAATGTCAGGATGCACAGAGAGCAAGATTACATTGCCCTCCACATTCATCCCTCAGACACTTGAACCAAGTGAGCCCAGGGAGGGATGTAGGGAGCTCAGGGGTGACCTGGGAAGATGATGCCCTTGGTGGTGTCTTAGGAGCTATACAACCCTGCCCTACTGGAGTGAGGAGGGACTCAGAAGTGAGAACTCTCCAAGGCCCTGCCCACAGTTCTGGTGGAGGTGAAGCAGAAAGTGTTGAGGAAAGTTCCAGCCCCCAGTCAATGCCTTGGGAGCCCAGGGCCCCAGGACTGCTCAGCGAAGGTAATGCACAGGTATCATCTGGCCTTGGCATCAGGGTCAAGTCAGACTCCAGCAGCGCAGGCTCTGCTAGACCAACAAACCTCCCCCTAGACAGTTTCTCACAGAGCACCAGGCACAACCCTGCTTCCCTAGCTCCTTCCAGAGACCCCCAAGGGATATGAAATCTGGGCAAACCACCAAGCCAAGCACCTCACTAATACTTCAGGGATTTCAATAGGGCAACTATAAAACTCACCTCTTTATACTCTGCCTATTCTAAGACAAGATTTCATTGCAGTTCCTTGTTCTACATTCAGATAAGATTAAGTGTAACAGTTGATTCTTAGTAGTAACGTGTATAATATGATCTCAATTTCTTCCTCACTAAACCTATGACTCTCCAGGTGAATGAGTGACTGCTCTACAGTATTTATGTATGTAAATTCTAGTGCTTCTCTCTCTTTCTTCCCCTTTCTGTTTTTCATATATATAAGTGGCTCTCTGAAAATTAACTGAATTTCAGCAATGGCTCCTTCTAGGTGGCAGAATTTGGGATGGTATTTTTGCCTATCTTCTTAATTCTTTGCTCCATTTCTTGAATCCTCATAATGAGCACATGTCATTATTTTCAGATGCAGCAGTCATTATTCCGAAGACATTAAAATTAATGGTAAAACTGAGCCCCTGCTTGTAACATAGTGATCTCTAGTGGTGGTTACACATATTCTTTTTGTGGATTTTCCTTTTTCATTGCTGGATTTTTTTTGATTCACACTGCTGGACTTATGGATAGTTGATTGGGTTTAAAAAAGTGATGTCAAATGCTGTAGGGTTGGCAGAAGGCAAAGATCTCACAGATCTCAATGGGGGGGGGGGGGAGGAGCAGCTCTTCTCTGGGAATGTTCTCTCTTGGAGCTTCACACAGCATGGATGATCATCATCATCCGGCACCCAGGAGGCAGCTGAGATGCAGTCAAGCTTAGCAACTTATCCAATTTACCCAACATTACATAAACAACACTGTGGACATTTGTCCTCCTTTAGGTCACACAGTATTTGCACCCCATTCAATGTTCAGAGAATTGCTTCCCATTTGAGCTTATGGGAAGCAGATTTATTGAAAAGCAATGAAGTAGTTAAGAGCCCAGGTCAGCCTGCCTGGCTGGGAAGACCAGCATAGCTATTTTGTTAACTGTGTGATTTCAGGCATCTTATTTCACCTTTCTGGGCCTTAGTTTCCTCATATGTTCAATGGGATATATAATACTATATTTGAGGCTGTGAAAATTAAATGAGTTAATCCAGTACTCAACTAATGTTAGCTATTATCATTTCCTCCAAAGCTGAACAGTCTAGAAGCCCATTTTTCCAGCTTCGCCCATGGTAGAGTATGGGCATGAAGTTCTACTTCGGTCAGTCAGAGACTCCTGTGCAAGATGTTTATTCTGGAGCAAGTGATGGGGAAATCTGGGTAGCTAGAGACCCATGGGCAAGTGCTGTTGGTCAGGAGTTAGCCTTGCCTGTACCATCAGGGAAAAAGTGACTTTAACCTTCAAGTGATTGCTGGAAATTTGACCTAATCCCCTAGCCTCTTGCTGGATAACAAATGTGGGGGGCAACAACGCCATGTTCTGTCCTTAGCAAGGACAGCAGCAACATCCTCAATAGGCAGCTCCTGGTTGTGGCTTCAATTGTGACCCTGGCTGAGTAGTTCATTTTCCCTGCTACCACAGATGAGGATAGTCCAGGATCTTTACAGAAATCCCTTTCAGCTTCCATCACCTAAAGACTTTGTTTTGTTCAAATAACACAGTCTAGAGCAGCTGGATAAATGATGGGACCTGAACCAACAACTGTCTGGCCACAAAGATCCTGCTGTTGCTACCTAACATCATGAATAGGAGGCTTGGGCCTGGTCTGCAAGGGGAATTGAGGGAGAGAGAAGCTAAAAGTGTTCTACAGAATAAAGTAAAAGGTCAGCCTCCCTGCACACAAACCTTCTCACGTTGCTTCCTCCTTGGCCAGAGAAGACTAGGGAAAAAGAAGAAAATCTCATCAAATGTCTCTGCTACTGGCTGACTCAACTGACCAATAGCTGCCCAGCAGTCTGCCATCCCCTCTCCCTTGTCAAGAGTCCTGGCTTGATGCCTAACCCCCACCTCCCAGCCTCCTGCCCAATCTCAAGGCAACCAGGGGCTGGTTCTCACAGGAAGGCATTGTTCTGTGGTGCAGACTCCTACTGGAGGTCAGATTTATCTGTCTCTGGCAGATCTTGTGAAAAGGTAGGTCAGTCAAGATGCAGCAGGATTAGCCGGAGCAGCTCCCTTGGCCTAGCATCCAGGGGTGCTGGTGTACCTCCCAGGAGTCCATTTGGCCCTGCTGTGTATGACTAATGGATTATAAAGGCCTTCATGGGACTCAAAGCTAGCTTTATGGGGCAAGATAGGCCTTCTTTACTTTTCTCAATCAAAGCCCCAGGCCACACTCCAAGTAGCCAAACTTCAGGTTCAGTAGGTGGAGAAAGGAATACAGGGCATACTGGCCCCTCCTCCAGCTCTTCTGCCCCCTCCTCAGCGTAGATCCCGAGGATGCCAAGCCAGCCATAAGGGCAAGTAGTGGAGGCAGAGCAAGAAGTTCCAGAGATGATCCTGGGGACCAGATATAAGCCACAGAGATGGGGAGTGGGCATGGTCTTCTCAAGGGTATATCTGTTCCTTGGCCACACTGGGCCAGGGTAACAGGGTGAATGGCCCTGCTCTGGGTGCTGGAGACCCATGGGCAACTGCTCTTGGTCAGGAGTTAGCCATGCCTGTACCATCAGGGAAAAGGTGACCTTGACTTTCAAGTGATTTCTAGATATTTGGCCTAACCTCCCTATTGCAGAAGAGGCCAGGGATCAGTGTAGCCATGTGTTCCATCCAGAAAGGAAAATGAAGGAGACACCTGGGAGACCTCCATAGGGCCCCTGTCTTCAGGCTGGGTAGGAGCCTAAGAGGAGAGGCCCCAGCACACACCCATCTCACTCACCCTCCTTTTCCTGTGTCCCTGTGTCTGTCCCTGATACAAACAAGATCACCAAATGTCAACACACAATAGACGGCCACTTGTGTGTCAGCAAGTGCCCTGGCTACCCACGAAGTTAGATTGCAGTCAAAAGAAAGTGATAGGTCAAAATCCTACTCCAAGTTCCCACAAGAGGGCACCATCTCCCATCTCCTGGTTCTGTGGGATTTAACTGCCACCTGGCTAAGGACTGACTACCTCTTGCTTTGCTAACCCAGGTGGCTAAACGAAAATAGCTTCCTAATCCAAGCA